AGCTGAGCTCCTTCCCTCAGGTACCACGACATCCCTGGCCACATGGCACCAGGCTCTTCACAAGATCATCAGGGGCTGCAGCCATGCAGAAACCTCCACCCCTCAATGCCTCCACCTCAACAGAACCCCCACTCCTGTCTCCCTGCAGGTGTCACCCACCTGCAGTTCCAGCGGCCGAACGACTTTGACTACAAGTCGGGGCAGTGGGTGCGCATCGCCTGCGTGGCCCTGGGCACCACGGAGTACCACCCCTTCACCCTGACCTCGGCGCCGCACGACGACACGCTCAGCCTGCACATCCGCGCCGTGGGGCCCTGGACCACCCGCCTGCGTGAGCTCTACTCCCCGGAGAACGTGGCCCTCATGGGCAAGCTGCCCAAGGTGAGTCCCACCCACAGGGACATCCAAGCTCAAGAGCACCTTGGCAATGGGTTGTGCCAAGCCTGAGGCACTTCTTCCAGCCCTGAGGGCAGCCAAGACCTGGGCAAGTGGAGGTGGGAGATGCTCTGCTAATGGCTGACTCCTTTCCAGCTCTACTTGGATGGGCCCTTTGGGGAGGGCCACCAGGAGTGGCACAAGTTTGAGGTGTCAGTGCTGGTGGGAGGAGGCATCGGGGTGACACCCTTCGCATCCATCCTCAAGGACCTGGTCTTCAAGTCATCTATAAACTCCAAGCTGCTGTGTAAGAAGGTAAGAGGAAGCATCTGAAAGACAAGCCCTCCCGAGGTGCCTCCTGCTGCTGCTGGCCTCTTTGGGTGTAGAAACCTTCATGGAGCCCATGGATGTGTATAAGGGTGCTGGCCCCACACTAAGCCTCATGTCCACGTCCCACAGGTTTATTTCATCTGGGTGACGCGCACGCAGAGGCAGTTTGAGTGGCTGACGGACATCATCCGGGAGGTGGAAGAGCTGGACAAGAACGACTTGGTCTCTGTGCATATCTACATCACACAGCTGGCTGAGAAGTTTGATCTGCGCACCACCATGCTGGTGAGCCTGGCCACCCACTGGGCAGGCTGCTGTGCCATGCTGGGCCATGCCAGGCCCATCTGATGTGCACTGATCTCTCTTCCAGTACATCTGCGAGCGGCACTTCCAGAAGGTGCTGAACAAGAGCCTGTTCACGGGGCTGCGCTCCATCACCCACTTTGGGCGCCCTCCCTTCGTACCCTTCTTCAACTCGCTGCAGGAGGGGCACCCCGAGGTTAGTGTGGAGGTCTCAGGCTGTCCATGAAGTCTTAGAGACCTCAGTAGCATCTGCACCAAGGGCAGAAGGGGCATGAATCCTGCTTTCCCTCTGGAGCCAGGCTGAGCTGCAAGAGTCAGCAGTGCCCCATACCAGCCAAACCCCACCCTGCTATGGCAGGACCCCAACTGCATCCACTGCCCAGAGCTGGGGCCTCCCATCCTTCCTCCATGGCCCTGGCAGCTCCATGGAGAAGGGACAGCCTCTCCAGCAGTCTCTGGAGGCAGGGCAGACTGCTCAGCCATCATCCATGCCCAAAGCTGTCAGAGTGCAAGGGGCCAAGGGGCTCTGGGCTGTGGGGAGAGCTGGTGCTGCTGGGTCTGATCCCTTTAGCTCCTTCCTTCCCCAGGTGCAGAAGATCGGGGTGTTCAGCTGTGGCCCTCCCGGGATGACGAAGAGCGTGGAACAGGCTTGTCGGCAGATGAACAAGAAGGACCAGACTTACTTTGCACATCACTATGAGAATTTCTGACCCTACCCCACACTCTT